TGGGGTGGGGGGGAGGAAGTAGGATCAAAACAGGGGTGGGAAGAGCACAAGGGACTGTGGTGATGGTACATGGGTGGATTGGTGGTGGGAATTTCACGGGGACTATAACCGAGATGATAAAGCATACATTGTATAGAAATGAAGAACGATCATCATAAAAAATATATAAAATAAAAAATAGAAATAAAAAAAGAGAAGAAACAATCTGACCTGCTATTCCTAAATACATACAAATGATGGAGTTTTGTGGAGTTGTGGGGTCCTTGGGCTCACTCTGGGAAAGGTGTCCCCAGAGCTCCCGTTTCAGCGGCTCTCGGGGAGTTCCCCAGGCGAGTTTCTCCACGAGACAGAGACGTTCGTTATATTTATTTATTTATTTATTTTTTTTTATCTCTTTACCAAATTATTTATTTATTTATTTATTTTTTTTATAAATTTTATTGTTATATTCCCCATACAATTGCAGCCCCCCCATTCTGACCCCAATCCCTCCCCTCCCGCCCCTGCCCCCTAAAAGTGTCTCTGGTTCATAGTTTTTTGTTGATTTTGATTTTCACTTTCTTATAGTTATTCATTTTCCTGGTCTCTTATTTAAGTTTTCTAGATTCCTGCTATGAGTGAGACCATCCGGTATTTTAAAGGGCACCTGCACCCCTAGGTTTATAGCAGCACTATTTACAATAGCTAAGCTTTGGAAACAACCCAAATGCCCAAAAATAGATGACTGGATCAAGAAGATGTGGTACATATACACCATGGAATATTACTCAGCATTCAAAAAAGATAAACACATGCAATTTGCAGCAACATGGATGGCGCTGGAAGGGATCATGCTCAGCAAAATAAGCCAGAAAGAAAAAGAAAAATACTGGATGGTCTCACTCATAGCAGGAATCTAGAAACCTAAATAAAGGACCAGGAAAAAGAATAACTATAAGAAAGAAAATATCAAAATCAACAAACAACTATGAGCCAGAGACACTCTATGGGGGGACGGGGAAAGGAGGGATGGGGTCAAAATAAGGGGGTTGTAATTGTATGGGGAATATAAAAATAAAATTTAAATTAAAAAAATTTATGTAATAATTATAAAAAAAATAAAGAGCGGGTTTATTAGGGAAAGGAAAAGGAACAGGTTTTGCTAAGAGAGGCCTACATGGTTGCAGGCAGCCTTGACAGGTCACGGGCAGGCGGGAAGCTGCTGCCCTGCAGAGGGAGAGAGTTGGTGAAAAGAAGCACCTGCACAGTCACAGGTGGGCAGTGGGAGTGCTGCCCAGAGCCTGGGCAGAGACTGCCCTGATACAGTCCCCTTCTGTTTGGGAGGGGTCACTCCTCCACGGAGTGGCCTGTTTGTTGCTGATTTGGGATAACTAAGCAAAACCAGGAAGGGACCGGAGATTCCAGGGTAGGCCCAATCTCCATATCTTTCCCCTCAGGCCTGTGCTCTACTCCCTGTAGCATCTGATCCTGCTTGGGTCTCATGCCTGGTGATAAGGCCCTGGTGCCTGAGGGTCATGACCTCTACAGCTGGGTAATGGTCCTGATATTCCTCTCGACCCCCACCTCCTTGTGTGAGTCAGGTTTTAGTCTTGTGAGGCCTCCTTTCCAGTTTTTCTATTCTTGTCCTCCATGACAAACATAAGGGAAAAAACATTCTGACCTAGTCATCAATCAATCAATAAATCAACCAATAAGGGAAGAGACATTCTCATTTTCTATTTCTAAATAAGTAAATATATGAGAGGAAACCTTCTGATGATTTATGAATGATGAATGAATGAACATTCTGACCTTCTATTCCCTGGGAGCTGCTAAGGACAGAGCTGCTAAGGACAGCTGCTAAGGACACCTGTGCCCTAGGTCTCAAGGGCATAGGTGCGCCAAAGCCTTCTTCTGCTATTCCTCTTGGCTCATCCTCAACTTCAAATACCTTTAATTTTCAGTACCTTTAATCATCGGGTTGCTTAACCCACCCCCTCACAGCTTCCCAGCCCTACTCGTTATGCCAGCCACTCCCTGGGCCTTCTCCATTCTCTCTGCTTTTTCCCCTCAGTATGTTGGGCACGTGATCTGCTCAGCCCCATTTTTATTGATGGACAAACTGAGGCTTATACAGGTGACATTACTTGCCCCCTTTCTATGTGACTTGGGCGGTGGCTGAATCAAAGTTCTCCGGTGGTCTTTCCCTGCCCATCAGGATGTCTGGTTCCTGAAGATGCTGGTGAAATGCTTTCAGGACACACCTACACTACTTTCTGAGAAACCAGTACCACCACTTTATGAGTGAGGAGGGCCCAATCCCACACCTGGTTGAGTGCCAGAATTACCTGAGGAACAGCTTACAGAGCACCCGCTTAGAGGAACAACTCATCTGGCTCCATTCTGGCTGTGGAGATGTGACCTGCTTTTCTCAGCCCCTCCTCAGGAAGGAGCTGCAGAGCACGTGTGGGATTTTATGGTAGCCCAGTGAGACAGGGTTACCTTTAGGATCTGATGGACAATGGAGGTGCAGAGATGAGTGGCAGCCAGTAATCATGACAGGGAATGTGCCGGAAAGGTTTTCCTGGTCAGAGCCCTGGGTTTACATCTCATGTCACCACCGAATAATGGGCTTAGTAATGCTACTGCACAGCAGTGAGGTACAGTCCCTATCTCACAGCACTGAGGGGTTATATTCAAAACCAAAAGCAAAGAACCTGAGTAGGAACCTGGCCCAGCGGGTTCTTGGCAAATGGTGGTCATTAATTGGAGTCCACACCAGTGGTGGTAGGGATGGGTCTTGGGTCCAAGCCTGGCTCCCCTGCTCAGCGGCCCTCTCCCATTTCCCCCTCAAGAGAAGACCGGATAATCTTAGTATAGTCGTAGCAGTGTAACTGCAGAGGGTCAGTGTGCAAAATTTATCTGTATCAGGACTTCCTCAAGCAGAGGCCCAGTCTTCTGATTCCCATTCTTTTGAATCAAGCCAGCAGCCAGGCAGTAACACAGTGCCCATGCATGCCTATCAGGTCTTGACTGGCTATTACATGCTAAAAAGAGAGATGATTATGGGCAGGAGACTCTTTCACTTATCCTTCTCAGTGTTACCAAGAAAGTGATAACCATCTCCTGGATTAGGTCCTTGACTTTGATAGATATTGTGAAAGGGATGTTACCAGGGACAAGAGTTGGTTTGAAAGCTGGCAAAGTAATTCTTTTTTTCTTTAAAGATTTTTTTAAAAATTTATTCATGCACATAAGAACCGGGGTACAGGCCAGATGTGCGGGAGGGTGAGAGAATTCACCAGCGACAGAGCAGGGAACAGAACATGGCAGAATAATTCTTGATGAAGTGCCAGAAGGTAGGAACTCACTCCATGCCAGGAGCTTCTCCTAGTCTCGTGTAATTCTTACCACTACCCTCTGGGTAGGTGTGTTGGGCCTGATTCTGGAGTCAGATTATTTGGAGGAAAACAACACTTTGGACTTCACTCCAAGTTGCTTCATCTTTGATAACATTGCAATAGTCGATCCGAGTATGAAAAGAGGTGAGCGGAGATGGTTCCCTACTGTGAATCTCAGGGCTCACTGGTGTCTGTGGGTCTGGTGGTCTTGGCAGACTGAGTGTAATGGAGTCAAGAGAGAGACCAGGACTTTGTGCTTCCGGCCTTATAGGCCGTCATCACCCAGGGATCACCAACCCCACATACACGACACTGCTACTCAGGAAGTCCTCTTAACTGGAGCGCAAGTCTGGCTTTTAGACCTAGGCCCCCTTATCTGTCAGCGTGAACTCCCCTTCTACAACTCACTGCCGGGCTGGCTTTCCGAGGGCAGGCTGGGCTGGGACTTGGAGGCTTCACCATTCTCAATAGCTTGATATAATCAGACTTATCATCTAAAAAGGCCTTTGACCACATCGACTTCCCTGGGACTCCCCATCACCCACAGTCAAGTTCCATACTTTTTAACCTCACTGTTAACTTGTCCTGTTTTATATGGATGGTATGCCACACTCTCGCCAAACCACAGCTGCCTCCCTGCTGTTCCCGTTTCTGCCACTGACGGACTGGTCACACCTGTGGGGCCATCCTGGGAGGAACCCACAGGATCTGCACCTAAATGCTGCTTCTGAGTTGATTTACCAGCTGAGTGATCTTGGGTAAGTCTTGTCCTCCCAGGCCTGTTCTGGGGTAGGGCTGAACTATGTCTAAGGGGCTTAGTTCAGGGCAGAGGCTTTTGTGGGAAGAGCTGAAAGCTGCCTGGCCCCAGAGAGCTTCTTAATTTCTTTCAGTCTTAGCACCTTCACCTGTGAAATGGGAGAACTAATTCCTCCCTTGCAGGACTGTGGAGGTGACTGAGAGGGACATCTGGCAAAGAGGGTGTTGTAGTGGTCTCCTATTTCTCAATAACCTACATCCGATAGGGTCAAGTGGCAGGTGTCTCTCTACAGGCTCAAGCCCATTTTTCTCCCCGGGTCCTGATTTGCCTTCTACGTGCCGAGCATTCCCCTCCTCAGCTCACTCCGGCCCATCCAGCTGCCTGTGACCCAGCTTCTTCTGGGACTTGGGGCTTTTCCTCTAGCACATGGATATTTCATTCCTGACTGGGGCTTTCATCCTTGCTCATCTGCTTTGTAGTCATGGACTGGGTAGATCTCAGACAAACTTCAAACAGTTGCCATCCCCAAGCAAGCCAGAGCAGGAGGCCAGCGCTGTCTGATAGTGGGGTGGAAGGAAGTACTTCAGACTGAGGTCTCAGTCAGTCCTCCTGACCAGTTTGGCTGGACCTGGGAGGAATGCGAAGCCACTTCTATTATCCTTTTCCTCTGCACAAAAGGTGAGCACACTCCAGGTCTGGCATGGGGGCGTGGAGGTGGAGGCAGGGGTGGGGTGGAGGGCTGCACTGCCTGCTTCACACTAAGAGTAAAGAATGTCAGATCAAACACTTCCAGATGAAATTGTTAGAAAAAGGAAGTGACCAAGAGAGATTAGAACAGTAAATTATTTCAGGAACACAGACTGCCAAAGACTTAAAGTAACAAATGCACTTTTAATTGACTTACAGATAAAAACTACTTAAAAGTTAGTGACCACTTCAGTCCCTAATCTGCTAGAGCTGTATCCTGGCCAGTCTTGAGGAACTGTGTTAACAGGTTATTTTCATTATTTCACTTTATCCACAGTATTAGAAAAGCAAGGCATTATAAAAGTTTAGGTGAAATGTGTGGCTGGCAGCCCAATCAAGTCCCTTATATTCCATATTTTCCCTTCAGTTCTTCTACTTTGGCGATGTAAGCTTTCATGGCATTGTCCTTGGAAGTCCCTGGAAGCAACGACAGGTTATTGGTTAGAGGGGCAGCATGGTTGAAAAGCAGCAGACTTTAGAACCCCAGACATCCCAGGTTTAATGCTTTGAGGCTGAGTTTCTCACCTGTTAAGTGGGGTTCTACGACCTGCCACTCATAGGCCTGCCCAGTATTCAACTGCAGTTCTCAGGGAGCCTGGCCCACAGTGAAGGCTCCATAAGGCACTAAGCCCATCATGTGTGTGTTCTGGTCCCATGCCTGTTCCCAGCTTGCTGGCCAGGGGAGTGCCCCATTGCCTTGAGTCATTAGAACACTGAGCCTCAGGAGAGGCTGGGTGCTGCACGCAGGCAGTGACCTTACTGGTCCTGCTGACTCTCACGGATGGCTATGGCCTGTCACATATTTCTCTGCGGGCTCTTATCTATCTAAACTGTAAAACTGGAAGTGCAAAAGCAAAGCCCGGAGAGAAGCTGTGAGAAAAGTTTTGAGAACTCTGCATGAAAGCAGCTGATTCTTAGAAGAGAATGAGGCAAATGTTTGCCTTCATACCACAGTACCAAGGATTCTGACTATATGCCCCAGAGAGTAACATTCAGTTTCCTGGATTCCACAGTAAGGAGATCCACTGTGAGTAAGAGCATGTTCTGAAGCACTAGAGAGTACGTGGGGCCTGAGAATGGCATGGGATTGCCCAATGAAAATCAACAGTCACACATTCCTATTGCAGTTCTTTGCAAATCCTAGGAGTGTATTTATTGTATTCTGGCCCTTTTTGAATTCAAGGGTTTTCTCATTTGCAGGAAAACAGAGGGCTTATTCAGAAACTAGACTGCAAGAAAACAAAAGCTAGCAGGGACTTTAGTGCCAACTCTTGGGTCTTGCTGCTGCAGGTGGCACGTGATTAAGTCGGCGCTGGGATACTTCTTGGCTGTTGTTGCTTAGCATATAATTGTTCCATTCACCGAGTCTGCCATGTGCCAGCAGCTTGCCTTGCATTAGCTCATTCCTTTCTTTCATGTGGCTTCCTGGCTGGAAGGGATCTGCAGAGAGTTGCTTGGGCTAGGGGCTTATGGGGAAGAGGGAGTTGTGGGCAGGCAACCATTCTTTATTCTGAATACACAGAAAGCCAATGCCAATTATAATGCTCCCAAACTGTTTCAGCGGCCTGGTCTGAGCCCTTCCCCTCCAGATGATACCAAGGATCAGAGAGGGGCTTTCAGAACAGGCATAAACAGTGTTAGTAAAGAAAGAAGGTGTTCCAGTTTTTTTCCATTCCAACAAAGGTCAAGCTGGTTTCTAGCACGTGGTTCATCTACTTTGTTTTCTCTGTTCATCCTTTACACTCCATGGGGGTAGAATATTTCACTACTGGGCTTCACAAACTAGGGAAACTGATTACAACAATTACCTTTCAGTCCATTCCAGGCATCCCACTTGGCTTTGCCTTTGAAGTCCATCATTCCAGGCCGTTCTTAAACAAGGAGAGGAAAGACATTAGATTTGCTTTAAGTTCCAAGGAAAAACTATCAACTTTCTTTCCATGAAAGCCATCTTTTATTATATTTACTCCTTCTGGGCTCTGTCATGGAGTTAAGTGGGTCTGCATTCAGAAACTCTGATGTACAGCAATCCAAACTTAAAATCTAGTGAAAACTACTAGGTAGTCCTTGTCTTGTAAGTCACATAAACTCCCAAATTGTCCTTTTAAAAGTTGTCCTTTAATTTTTTTTTTTTTAAACAAGTACTACATCCATTTTCTTGGCTCAAAATTCAAAACTATAAAGGGAAATGCTATATAATTTCCCCATTTCTCTCCCGCATGCATTATTATCAGTTTTCTGAGTGTCTTTCTGTTTCCAGAAATGTTATGCCATATTTTACTAAGTTGCAAGTCTATTTCTGGTTGATTTGTGGGAGTTTTGCCTGAGAGCAAAATCTTTTGAAGTGATACCATGGTTTTATACTCGATAATTGTACTCTGGAAACACATTCTGTACTTCCCTGTTGACCCATTTATCTCGGTGTTTGAGAACAGGCCCAGGGGAGCCACCACAGTGTCCACAGCCTGGATCAGTATGTCTGAGACATGTCAATGTCCCTGAGTGCTTTTAGGCAAGTATTCCCAGGGATACTGTGCCTGTTGACGCAGCATCAGAATTCTAGAGCAGCACACCTAACTGCCCTTTCTGGACAAAGGCAATGTTGTACATCTGCATTGTCCAGCTCAGGGGCCAATGAGTACAGAACTTCTGATTTTATTATATTTTAACCAGTTTCAATTTCAATTCAGATCACCACATGTGGCTAGTTGCTAACTGTACTGGAGGATGTAGCCTTAGAGTGAGTCAACACCTCCTTTTTTGGAAAGGAGAGATTCTCAAGCCAGTCCACCTATACTTAGGTGACAGCAGGACGGAGGTCTGTGAAAATACTATTTGACAGAAAAGTATCACGGTCCCTCTGGCCACCCGCACTTCACCTCACATTTGCCTCCCTGGGAAAATACAGTTTTTAAACCAAGCACAAAACTCATGTTCACCACATGGCCTTTTTCCTCTAAGCCCTTTCTCTGAACCCAAATTTGATTTGTCATTTCCCATGATTCTTAAATCTGGGTACCATGTCCTCCCCTCTAGCTGGCCAACAGCCAACCCAACTGTTCCACCCACCTCAACTGCGGTGGAGTTGAGGGTCATGGTCAACCCCCTGATTAGGGGTTGAGAGGACCTCCTTTTATGCTACCATGGCCACCAGCTCTAAGTCCATGCATGGACTGAATGGTGCCATTGCCTCAGCACACACCTGAGTTTCAAGGACTCAAGGGCAGATGAAAAACTGCCCAGGGTAGTATTACAAAATATGGTAGTCCAAACCACAGCCCTAAAATCTGTACCAAGATTTTTCCACAGAGAACAAATGGTCATCAGGAATTGCTGTCAGCAAAAAAAAAAAAAAAAAAACGTTTCTGACTTGCCCTAGGAAGCCAGCTGCTTCTCTGCTCTGAAATCCGGGTCTGGCACTGCTGCCAAGCTATTCTGCCCATCTCAGGCACCAGCGGTGTGGTTCAGTAAAGCTACTACAGAGCTGAGAATCTGGGGCAAGTCTTTCTAAGCTGGGGCCTACGCTTCAAGTAAATGCCTACTGGGGCCTACTTCCTCCCAAGTAACTGGGAACTGCTGGTGATAACAGGAAAGTCTTCCCAAAACTAGGATTTGAATTTGAACCACCCACAAACAACATTCACTGCAGTGTCTGTGAGCCCTATCAATAGGGCCTCCCCCAGATGAAATACCAGGAGCCCCATGAACATCACCACAGCCCCCCAGGACCTCTGGGGTATCCACAAATTAGGATTTCAGAAATTAAACCACCAAGGCTACTGAACCAGCTTAGATGAGCAGGAATTTCCCCCTCCCCGCTTCATCTCAGCATACCTGTATTTACATCGCCCACAGTTGCTTGTTTGTAGTGGCTATAGATAAACAGCATCTCTTCATCTGTTGGCTTGGTCTTGAGGTTCTTAACTTCCTCAGCAGCTTTCTCAAACTCAGCCTGAATTAAAGGGAGAGGACAGCTCAGGAATGGGGATGGAAGGCTTAGCAAGGCAGCCCTCCTCCTGCAATGCAGGTGAGGAAAAGCAGTTCCCTCTCAAGTGTGTCTCCCTTCTTCTCCCCAACAGGGCAGCTGGAAAGCTCCAGCAGGATAAGGAGGGGAAGCGCAGCAATTCACTAGCTGCATGGCCCTCCAGGTACAGGGCTCTCGCACACATCAGGTATCAGCTGCTTAAAACACCATGGTGAAGCCGCAGGCTAAGCCTGCCCACTTGGACTCCCTGCCAGTCAGCACCAGGCCAGACCCGGCCCCCAGCTGGGCCAGGACCAGCGAGAGGACCCCCCTCCCCCCGCGCCTACCTCTGTCCCAGTGCCCGAGCTGGGGAGAGGAGCGGAGCCAGAGGTCGCCCCGTGCAGCTCGGTCCCGGGAGAGTTCAGGGGGAGGGAAAGGCCCTGGATCGCGTCTCCCTAAGTCCTCCCTTTCCGCCGCCGGACCCGGACCCCGAATTCCTGGTCTCCCCGCTCTTGGCACGGCTTCCCTGCTTCCCGCCGCCCCAGCTCCTGCCCCGTCCTTCGGCCTCTTCAATCTCTGCAGCCCTCTACCTCCCCCGCCTGCCACCCCTCCGCGGCTCCGCGACGTGCAGCCCCGGGCCCGTGCGCGGCCGCCGGGGCGTTGGGAGCCCGAGACCGCGGTGCCCGCCCGGCTCTGCCCCAGGCCGCGCGGGGTCGGGGGCGCCGAGGGCCGGAGGGCGAGGGAGCCAGGCTCCGTGCTCCCGGACCGCCGGCCTCCCGCCTCGAGGCCCCGTCGCCGCCGTTGGGCACACGTTATACCTGAGACATGCCGGCTGGATTGCAAAAATTCCAGGAGACCTGCGCGGGGGGCGAGAGCAGCAGCAGCAGCTGCCCACGGCGCCTGGCAGCGCCTTTATATATGCCGCGCCGCCGTGCCCACGGTTCGGTAGAGCGACAGCAGCCAATCAGCAGCCCGAGCTGCGCTGGAGGCGTGTCCTGGGGCGGGGCGCCTTCTCCGGAGCCCACGTGGGGCTGCTCGCGCACGCGTGGGGAGGAGCCGCGGGGGACGCCGGGAGCAGGTGGGGACCGCGGAAGTAGGGCGCGCTGGGTCGTGAGGGCCGCTTGGGCCGCGCGGGGCGCCGTGGTCGCCTGCGGGTGGCCTCGGGCCGGGGAGGTGCGGAGGCTGAGGCCTGGAGCGTTTAACTTTAATTCTTTGATCTTGGTCCCGGCGTGAAGAGGCCGCGAGTCGCCTGTTGAGACTAGTAATCCCAGGACTAGGAAGGGCTGCAAGCGGGGCTCTCCCTCCCTGGTTTGGGGGCGCCTCTGCGGGGAAGGTTCCTGGGGAGCGGCTGAAAGGTGGGGAGCCGGGCTGGGCCCCTGGAGGGCGAGGCCCCCCTCTTCCCGGGAGCTTTGGCGTCTCTGGCCCGCGGCAGCCCAGCGTGCAGGTGGTGTGGTGGTGTGCAGGTGTGTGTGGTGCAGGTGTGTGGGGGCGTTGAGGGCAGGGGGTTCTTGTCTTTATTTCAGTGTGGACCCTAACTGTGCAGGGGGGTCCCTGCACAGTTAGTATATATAGGACTAACTGGAAAGGGGGAGGTTCCAGGCTTCCTGCCCAGCCCGCCCCTCTCCCTGTCTGTAACATCATCAGGTGCCTGGCAGTAGCTGGTAAATGAGGGTCTCCTGGGTTCACAGATGATTGCTCAACTCTTGTCAGGTAACTCGCATTATTGCAGACTTGGAGCTACAGCAGTGAGGAGAAGAGAGAAATTCTTGCATTGCTGGTGTGGAACCAAGCATAAGTATTCTTTTTTTTTTTTTGCATAAGTATTCTTAGCCATTGTTTTATCATTTTGTGTGTAACTGCCATTTTAGAATTTCAGGTCTTGCTGTCCCGGGAAAGACTGCATTCCAGAGTTTGACCCCCCACCCCACTATGGTCTTATCTCAGTCTGCTAGCCACAGCGGAGCCCAGCAATTCAGGCCACTAATGGGGTCAAACTAGCCATAAAAAAGCTGCATCTCGATGTGACCAATCAGCTCAAAAACTGAAACTGCACCCACAGTTGTTAGGAAATGCACCTGTGTAACCAATGAATGGTTGCCAACATAATTTAATTTTTAGAGATCTGCTTGTAACCCTATATAAAATCCCTGTTCTCTTTGTTCAGGGCTCTTGCTATCTGCCACTGCGTTGGTAGGTGCCGTGAGCCTGGACTCGAGTCTGTAATAAACCCCCTTTTGTGTTTGCATCGGCTGTCTTTGGCATCTTGGAGGCTATGCTTGCAGAGTCTGCTGATCTTGGGCACAACAGCTGGGACTATTGCGGCCCAGTAATTAAAGTTAAGTTAAATAGAAAGTTTGTCAGGGCGCTGGGGAGTTGGAAGTTATTGTTCTGTAGAGTGTGGGGGAAGGGCTAAGGGAAGGTAACATTTGAGAAAACCCCTTAAGGAGAGCAGGGACAAGTCCAGGCAGAAAGTTGCTGTAGGGGTGTGAGCAGGGAGAGAAGGAAATAGTAGGAAGAGATGAGGCTACTGCGTTCAAGAGATGGCAGGCTGGCAAATGACTTAGAGTTTATTTGTTATAGGGATTTTGACTCGCTGTGAGATGGGAAGTCGATAGGAGTTTTGAGCAGAGGATGGTATAACCGAGAGGAGCAGGTCTTTGTGAGGTTAACAGATGCTGATCTTCATAGGTACAAAAAAGAACTGCTCAGGTGGTGGAGCAGTTTGGGAATGATGCCTAAGAGACAAAAGAGAATTTTCTGGCAGTAGTTACAAAGGAGCTGAATGAAGTGAGGGGTCATGAAAAAATTCTCAGGAAATCATTAAAAGAGGTCGTCAACCCTCTCCAGTTCCTGATTTGTGGCAGGAGGACTGGACTACAAATCTTCACCCTACATTGTCCCGCCGCACCCACATAACAGCTGTGGGGGTTTTGAAAGAAAGATGAGGTGGAAGCTTCCAGAGGTAACTTGACATAATGTAGGTCAAACATTAGAAAATATTTGGGAAGAAGTGGAGTTGCAGTAGCGGGGAACAAATCTAATCAATTTCCTGGGTTAAAGATACAGAGCTATCAAGCTATGGCCAGCCACTGCAGCAGGAGTTTAATCCCCGGCCAGGGAGCTCACCCACATGGCGCCGCATGTCTCTCTCCTGCCTCCCCTGCTGCCCCTCAGCCATGTATTTCAGTCGATCCACCTGTTCTGCTCGGGCTGTCTCTGGTGAATCCTCTCACTCCCCCTGCCCCCCACCTTTGGCCTACAGCCCAGTTCTTGTATGCATAAATAAATCTTTTTAAAAACAAAAAAATGTAGTGTCTTTAGTCTGTGAACAATTTTGATTGACAAAGCAAAGCCAAACAAAGTTTTAGAGTTAAATTTGGGGAAATTACACTTGAAGTGTAGGAAATGGTGGTTATTTCCAAAATAACAATTCAGAGTTGTTTTTTCCCTTTCTGAGTCCCCAGTGAAGCCTGGATTTGTTTTTACTCTGTCATTTGGTACTTAAAGCTTCCTGATAGAAATTTCAGATAACTGCCTATGCGGGTCTTATTTGCAGTCAAGTGTATTCTCCAAGTCATAGGTTTTTAACATTAGATTATTGTGTTTGGCACATTTGAAAAAATGAGGTGACTTTTCTTTACATTCTCAAAGACTTGGTGTGAGTGAATTCTGACTAGAGTTAAGCATTGTAGGAAGTCAGGGTAGTGTTTGAAATTGACTTGATTGTCTGATTTAAGTGGAGTTGAAGTTGTTTCCGTGTTTAGAATCTCTTTCACTTTCCTAAAAAAAAAAAAAATGTTTCCACATAGTGATTTTGTGCTAAGGTAAGCTGATAAAAGTTTAAAGCAACTGAAGTAACTGGTTGCTTGGAACAGCTACTGAGGACATTGTGCATGGAGCAGGGTGGTATAGGAAGAGTGTTTTTCTTGGTACAGGACTCAACCTAGGCCAGTTTTCAGAAGAGCTGTAGACATGCTCTTTGGCCTCCTTCCTTCAGTAACCCTTTCACGGGAGCACCCCCTGGGGAAATGTTGCTGTAAACCCTCCCGCTTACTAATACTCCAGGGAGCGGGCATGGCCTTTGGCTCTGAATGTAAAGAGGTGATGACCAGCCAGCATTTGGGTTTTACTTTGGAAAAGTAAACTTTAGAATATGTTTGGGGTCAATAAATGATGTGAAATTTTTTAATCCAAGTGTATTTATTGGGATGACTTCCCATTCGCCTTGTTCAGGGTGGGTGTAGTGCTGCTGCTCTCTACAGGAATGTCCCCCTTAGACTTGCTTCTCATCCTGCAGGCTGTCCGGGGACAGTGGAGCAGGCAACACACCAAACTACCTTTGTGCCTGGCCGAAGATGCTGTGAAATAGGAACTGGGGCTCAGGACCAGGTGGTTCTTCTTCTGTTCCCTCTGCTCTTCTGGAGTGCGCTGAAGGAGATCCTTTCCAAGAGGATGTTCTCATGCGGAAGCCGTCGCCACCAAACATTTTTTATTCTGTATTTCAATAATACTGGCAAGGAAGTAACTCAGCTTTGTTTATGTCCTTGTTAGCAGTAATTATTTTATTTACAATTTACAATTTTTTAAAAAATTTATTCTTCTGCCATGAGAGTCCCCTCTCCTGCATAAGCCAGGGAAGGTAGGAGTCACTTTGTATTGGTCAGTACTTTACCTCCTAGTGTCTGGCACTTATTGGGCACTCACTGGGCACTCAACAAGTGGTGGGTGAATGAACAGAGTGTGTCTCTCTATGAAATGTTTTCCTTCCAGTTAGAACTTAGAAACCAACAATTTTTTTTTTTAGATTTTTTATTTATGCATACAAGAGCTGGGGTACAGGCCAGAGGTGTGGGGGGTGGGTGAGAGACCTCACCAGAGCCAGAGTGGGGAGCAGAACAGGCAGACTGAATGAAATCCACTGCTGAGGGGAGCAGCAGGCGAGCCAGGAGAGGTCTGCCGCATCATGTGGGCAGCTCCCTGGCTGGCCTGCGTGGCTGTGGACAGCTTCGTAGGCTGTGTCTTAACCCCTTGCGCCACCAGGGAGGCCCAGAAACCAACAAATTTGATTAGAATTGAATGTGAAACTGTTGTCTTGAGAGCAGAAGAAGTCTGGTATAAGGAACATGTAATCTCTTCAAACCACTCCAGCCATAGAAACAGACCTCCTGAAACGTTCAGGGGTGATGGAGAGCCTGCTGAGCTCCCTAGTGGCCAGTTAGTAGAGAGTCTGTTCTCACAGTCGCACCTTGCCCTCACGTTCTTGGGATTCCAGTTTTGAGTGCTCACAAGACTTCACTTGCTGGGTCTCAGTGTAAAGCCATACACAAGGTCTATTAACAGGTGGAAGCAGTTCCTGCCCAGTGGGTGTGAGTAGGAGTTTAATATTAGGTTACTTGGTATAAACTAAACCCCTAATTTCTAAAAGTAAGCTAATCATTAAAAATGGACTACACTTACAGTAAAGCTTTACTCCAAGGCAAAGGTTAGATTATTCACAAGTGGTGAATTACATTGATTTGGTGCTTATTTTGTAGTTTCTTGGGATGTGACTCCTAAGGCACGTCTTTAGGCAAACTGGGAGCAGATGAGCATGTCAGCATGGGAAGGAGGCGTTAGGAAGTGATGCTGGGGTAGGAGTGGAGAGAGGCCCCAAGTTGGGGCTTTTTTTTTTTCTTTTGTGAAGCAGAGAAAGGTAGGAGCTGAGAGGAGTGGGATGAGAGTACAGCAGTTTTACTCTCCCTGTTTATTTTTGTTTTTATCCTCTTGACCCTTTCCCTCCCCTCCCCTCTTAACCTCAGAAACTTCATTGATTAATGCCTATTGATTTTCACATGTATTTTACTTCTGGAATCATTTATATAAATGTCCAATATTTGTCTTTGTCATTCTGACTTGCTTTGCTGTATTTAATTCCCTCAAACTCCTGTTTTGCTGTAAATGGCAACATTTCGTCTTTCCTCATGACTGAATAGTGCTTTATACTGTCAGTATTCCACATTTCTTGATCTAATCTTCTGTCAGTGGGCATTTGGGTTGCTACTATGTCCTTGGTAGTATAAATAGTGCTGTAACAAACATTGTAAAGTATATGGGTTTTTGAGTGTATGGGTTCATGTTTGGATAGATGCCCAAGAAAGGGATTGCTGGGTCATGTGGTATTGCCATTTTCAGTTTTTTAAGTACATTCAGATCCTTTTCCGTAATGGCTGCACCAGTGTTTCCATTCCCACCTATTGTGTGATAGGGTTCCTCTTTCAGTGTGTCTTCCAGGACTTGTTGGGGGGCTTTTTCATATGTGCCATTGTAATAGGCGTGAGATGATATTTCATTTTAACCCATATCTCTCATTGTGAGTGATGATGATTTTCCCGTGTAGCTGGTGACGTTCTGGATATCCTCTTTAGTGAATTTGTTTATTTAGATCTGCTGAACATTTATTGGGTAGTTTTCTATAGTTGAACTTATTAAGTTTTTTTTTTTAAGATTTATTTATTCATGCATACAAGAACCGGGGTACAGGCTAGATGTGCAGGAGGGTGAGAGGACGCACCAGAGACAGAGCGGGGAACAGAACAGGCAGACTGACTGAAATACACTGCTGAGGGGAGCAGCGGGCGAGAGAGGAGAGGTCTGCTGCGCCATGTGGGTATTTCCACGGCCGGCCGGGACTGAACCCACGCTGCAGAGGCTGTAAACAGCCTCACAGCGCTGTGCTCAACCGTCTGCACCACTAGGGAGGCCCTAGTAAGTTTTTTATATTCTTGTGTATTAGCCCCTTTTGGTTATGTGATATGTAAATATTTTTTCCCAATCAGTAGCATGTCTGTTCAGTGTACTTATATTTCCTTTTGCTGTGTAAGAACTTTTAAATTTGTGGTAGCCCCAGTCCCAATTGTTTATTTCCCTTATCTTAGGGGTTGGGTCTCCAAAAATATCTTTATCATTGCTGTAATAGATCATATCATCAATATTTTCTCCTGTACATCTCATTATATAAGTCTTATATCTAAGACTTATTTTGTTATAAGTCTCATATCTAAATCTTTAATCCAATAATTCAATAATCAAAATAAATTTGAAATTTATTTTTGTACGTAGAGGGTGATCCGTCTTCATTCTTTTATATATTGCTCTCCAGTTTTCCCAGCACCATTTCTTTTTTTCTAGTGTTTTTTTTTTATTGGGAGGCAAGGGGAGGAGATCCAGGGTAGAAAGGGCTAGAGATGAGGTGACCCTTTCATCTTTCTCACACAGGAAGTGCTGTCCCTCTGATGGCAGCTTCCCCTGAAAGGCACATCTTGAGTTTATGACAGCATCTGGGACTATTCTGTTGAATTTCAAAATGAGAAAACCTTTTTTCCTGGGGTTGGATGTGAGCAAGTCTGACTGTGTTTCTAAGGGTACAGGCAGCAGTAGAGGCAGGGTCTGCGGGAGACAGGGAGCTTAGAACTTCAGCTGCTGCTGCCCCTCTAACCAGATCTCCTCGGAACCCCCAGAAGTACAGGCAGCACTCTTCTAGGTAGATGTCTGGTTGCTCACTGTAAAGAGTACCAGGAAAACCTGCCACTTCCCCTGCCTCCTGGAAATGACCAACCTGGGATGATTTCCTTCTATTATTTAAAAAAACAAGCCGACAGCCAGTATGAAGTGGCTCACAAAAGCACTTTGCTAGGCCCTCCTCATCCCCCCTCACTACTTGTCTGAAAAGACAAAGACAGAAACTACTGCCCAATTCAACAACCAATAATCTGGGTCTAGCTCCTGGGAGTGAAGAAAAGGAGAAAAGGGAAGCTCTCCCAGTGCCCTCCAGATCATATGCTTTTGCTGCAGACCTGACCAAATCACAGTCTTCTTCTCCTGTCTCCACGCAGAAGAACCTCAGCAGCACCATTTATTAAAGAGATAATCTTTTCCCCATTGTGTAGTTGTGACTGCTTCATCATAAATTAAGTCTTAATATGTACTTGGGTTTTTCTCTGGGCTTTTGATTCTGTTCCGCTATTCCAAGTATCTATTTTTTTTTTGCCAGTACCATACTGTTTTTAGTACCATGGTTTCATGGTATAGTTTTTCCCCCAAAGAATTACTTTTATTTACACAAGAACTGGGGTACAGGCCAGAGGCATGGGAGGGTGAGAGAATTCACCAGAGACAGAGAGGGGAACAGAACAGGCAGACGAGGGAAAACATTGCTGAGGGGAGCAGCAGGCAAGACAGGAGAGGTCTGCCGTGCCATGTGGATATCTCCCTGGCCGGCCGGGGGTCGAACCCGCGCTGTAGAGGCTGCAGATAGCTTCTCAGTGCTGCGCTCGACCTGCTGCGCCACCAGGGAGGCCCCATGGTATAGTTTAAAGTCTGGTGATGTGATGTTTCTTTTTTTCTCTCAGAATTGCTTTTGTTATTTGAAGCTTTTTATGGTTTCAATATTTTTCTCTTTCAATTTTTTTTCTCTTCATTTGTCTCTTTCCTTCTCTGATGGCATAGCAAGTGAGAGGAAGCCTGACAACTAGAGGTTTTTTTTTTTTTTTTTTTTAAATATTAAATTTTATTTTTATATTCCCCCATACAATTGCAAACGCCCCATTCTGACCCCAATCCTTCCCCTCCCGCCCCCCACCCCCCAAAAAGTGTCTCTGGTTCATAGTTTTTTGTTGATTTTGATTTTCACTTTCTTATATTCATTTTCCTGGTCCCTTATTTAAGTTTTCTAGATTCCTGCTATGAGTGAGACCATCCGGTATTTTTCTTTTTCTTTTTGGCTTATTTCGCTGAGCATGATCCCTTCCAGTGCCATCCATGTTGCTGCAAATTGCATGTGTTTATGTTTTTTGAATGCTGAGTAATATTCCATGGTATATATGTACCACATCTTCTTGATCCAGTCATCTATTTTTGGGCATTTGGGTTGTTTCCAAAGCTTAGCTATTGTAAACAGTGCTGCTATAAACATAGGAGTGCAGGTGCTCTTTGGAATTGATGTTTCTGTGTCCTTTGGGTAAATACCTAGGAGTGGAATTGCTGGATCATATGGAAGCTCTATGTTTAGTAGGTCCAGAAATCTCCACACAGCTCTCCATAGTGGTTGGACCAGTTTGCACTCCCAGCAACAGTGCACAAGAGTTCCTTTTTCTCCACATCCTCGCCAACATTTGTTGGACAACTAGAGGTCTTAACCGGATCCTCCACTGTGCCATTCTCTCCCTTTGGGTGTTCAGAGGCATTTCAGCAAGTAGGATGGGAGAGAAGAGTGTGTATCCACATGTGTTTATTATTCTCCTCTTTCCCTGTCATTCAATTTCTGCCCAGCCAACATGGTCGTGTGTTTGGACTGAGGTGAGATACAAAGACAAGGGCTTGGTAGTAGAAAATAAGTGTCCTACACTGGCTGG